GAAAGCTAATGAATCGATAAAAACAGAAACCATTAGGGTAGACAGTAGCAGTAGATGATACCTTGAATCGAGAAGGATACCTTGAATCGAGAATGAACCGGTATCGATTAATATGTAAACAAGGAGGTCAATTTAGGAGGGAAAGTGAGCTCTGAGTCGTCATGTTGAGAAGAAAAACAATTGATTATCATGGGAAGAGAAGCTTTGGCGAAGTAAACCAAGAGGATGTAAAAGAATTAAGAAGTTGTACATGTGCTTGTGATATTTTAATCAAGACTGTGTGCATCAAAAGATAGTACCTTAAGCGTTTTAGGTTGTTTTTATAACTTTTCTCAAATCTGGTAGTATAGATGATCATAGGGTATTAACGAAACAACAAAACCCCATGATGCGTGAAAAAGGTTTTAATGGCAAAAATGTTGCAAGTTGTAACTCATTATAAGTGTTCTTCTCATCTTCATTGTCGTTACTCTCCTTTGATTTCCAAGTTTTGTTTCACGGGAGTTGATATACGAGTCCTGTAACTTTATAAACGAATATATCTCATTTGATTGTAGATTAAGATCTTTTTTTCGAGGTAAAAAAACTCTCTAAAGATCCAACGGATTTTCCTTAGAAATTTCTTTACCTCAAATTTTAAATAGGATAAAATATAACAAACTTTGTCGATAAAAGTTCAAATCTTCATACTTCACATCTATTGTATCTAATAAACGGATTTTCAGCGTATATGACATCAGTTATGTAGCAAATATCGATGTAGATCAAGAATTACAATAATACTTATGTTCTATTGAACTCGAAATAGACTTGAAAGAAACCATTGACATACAATCAAAACAGTTTCAGATATGAATTATCGATATAACATAAACCATTGAAAATACTGAATTTCAACTACATTTCCATCTTTCTACTTTACTAAAAGCTACACCCAAAAAGCCATAAAATAGAGGCCAAGCAAACTACATATGCAGAAACACACCAGAAGAAAAACTGTTCTTCTTGTTGGTAAGTTAATCAGAGATTTCTTCTATTCATTTCGTCACCTGCCCTATATAAATCATTGCACGGTTAACCCTAACTGTGGATGCAAACGGGGATTTCATAAAGAAAAAAGAACGCGAAAGATGCTTACTTTGCTAGCCCCTACCTCCAAAGTGGCTTAATCTTCAAATCTGATCTTCTTTGGTGCAGGCTCATTACTTCCCACCTGTTTATCAGATTCAGTAAAATAAGTCATGGACTTCAACGGGAAACATATGTGAAGACCGTTGATAAGTAAGGATCAATAGATTCTTACGATTTCTGGGTACTCGTAGTCAATACCAGCAGCTTCAATCTTCTTGCGCCTTCTCTGGTCCCTTTTCAAGATTCCATCTACCAACTTCCTGTGCTCTTCAAATGTCCTTTCCTGAATCCATCAAATTAAAGTTAACCCAGTGTGGCCATATACAGCATAAAGTCAAATCTGAAAGAAAGACTTCTTGAACGAAAAGAGTGGCATATATTATACCTTGTTTTGACGTTTACGTTCGATATGAACCCAGTCCAGAGGTTTGTAATAACGATTAACACCTTTCCACCTATAAAAAAAGTTCCCAAGTAAAACAACCACCCATTACCCACTTGTAACACAATCAAATGCACTACAAACCGACATTTTCATCCCAAATCTTGTATCTAACCGATACCAAAAAAAAGCAGAACAAAAATCAAGCTCTAGATACAATTGTTCCAACAGGCACTTGAAGAAATCATATAGATAAGTTTCTCAACATGAACCACTGTTAAACTAATGTCACATGTTTATCTGTTCACTATGTCAACTATGAAGATCATCCATCTCAATCCCAAAGGTCTTCAATTGCTGCATGATAATATCCATGTGTAATTGGGTATGAAACACATCAATACGCCAGTAAGCAAAAAGCAAACGTTCTATGAAATCTCCAGCCAATAAATAACAAGACCACAGGACACAGAACAAACAATCCAAGCACATTATGTTAGAATTTCTAATGCTTACAGCTTGGGATGAACACGCTCAGGAGGAACGAGCTGTACTTGCAACAAATGCTCAAACAAGAGGTAGTTGTGCATGGTTTCAGCAACAATCTTTGCCACCTGAACAGATTGATAAATAAGAAATTCAGGTCTCCCAAGAATAAACAGAAAATATGTAGTCAAAATATAGGTTGAATAACGTTCAACCTCAGGAGACGCAAACTCAAGGAACCCAAAATGCTTGGATTTTCCTGTCTGGTAAGAATAGACAAAAGGGCTACGTTAAATCAAAGAACATCTATACGATTTCGTAACATAATTATACATAAGAGAAAACAAACAACGAACACATTATTTTTTCATAACATGGTACCAGAAACAACTTCAAAACTACACTTTTGATGTGAACAAGGTAAAGATCTAACCTTCCTGTTCCGTGCAATTCTTATCCTCTTGATTTCTCCAAATTGCTTGAAAAAGGCTACATGAACAATGCGAAAAAAAAGCCATGTTAAAGCAAGTCATAGTTTGTCATCCTAACAGATCTTCCAACATTCGAAACAGCTCCTTTACCAAAATTTACCTTCCATTTCATTCTCGTAAAATCCATGAGGGATTCTTCCAATATACAACACAGCAGCTTTATTTTCTGAGTTTTCGATAATTGGCAGTTTTCGAGCTGGACCACCCTCTAATGGCTATTTCGTACACATATAAACAAATACAAATCAATCAAACATTACCATCTAATCAAATAATCCCTTCATATCCAAAAAGAAGTGAATCCTGAAACTGGGTACTTTTCAAATTTCTATTTAGGACCTAACAACTTCGTTAAACTTTGTAACAAATACTACAAATTGGAATGGAGGTAATAAAATAAAACCTAAAACATGATTAGAAATATTAAACATGGTGCTTAAAACTCACCAAGAAATCGGCAGCTTCCTCTTTTCGAACAGACGCCGTCAACTGGGATGAACCCTTTTTTGCTTTCTTCATCATCGACTTTTTCGCCTTCATCCCCATCTTCAAATTCGACTGATATGCGGTGATGTAAATAAAACTGGGAGAGGTTAACTTTTGATATGAAAAAAGAAATCGGATATTAAACAAGAATATAAAGAAATTAAAAGGTGCGATGAAGAAACGACTATATAATGAGAATTCCTAAATACGTACAAACCTTTGCGTACGTTAATGGCGGAGAAAGAAGACGGTGGTTATCAACGAGGGTTCGCGGCGGCGAGAAGCGAATAGAAATAGGGAGTGTGGAGCTGTTGAGCCCGTAACCTATTTGGGTTTAATATATATTAAATAGCCAGCTACAAACCCTGAACTATGAAAGATTTACGAATTTAACCCTCTACTAAAATAAACTAAAATTATATCTATTATATTATTGTTCTTTCGTATCAGTCCTCGTACTTCTAATTTGCTTTCATCATTGGTCCTTGACCTTAATTTCCGTTAAATTCCTTTGTTAAGTGCCCACGTTCTAGTAACGAGAATTATTTTGGTCATTCAGAAACCCCTCCCTCTCCCCACTCCCATCTCGTTCATCTCCCTTCTCCATCACCTTCGAGAACACCTACCTCCAAAGCGAAATTCAAATTTGGAAACCACTATCTACTAATTCGACAAGCATGTACACAACAATTCCAACAAACCACGTATGCGAACGCAGGGTATGAAAACCATACACAAAACACATTTTATATCTCGGAAGGAAGTTTCAGAAAACCTTGATCTACTTAGAAACACTTCTTGTTTTTTGTTTCCCTTTTCGATTGCCTTCTTCTTTCTGGGTTTGTAAATCCAATCCAAGTTTTAGAAACGGGAATCTAACCAGTTTCACGTAATTTTGTGGGTTAAAAATTTGTAGATAACCAATTTTTAAAAGTTCGATGGTTTATTCATTCAAAATAGAACTGTCCATAGACTTAATAATTCAAAATTGGAAAATTCAATAGTTTTTTATTCAAAGAAAAAGTTCATGACTTACAAAGCCAAATATACCAAAAATAGATGCCCACAGTCTTGGATCCTTGAACAACAACATACACTTTGCTTCAATTTTCAAAATCAAGAAAAAAGGAAACAGGAAAACCAGCAACAACATGATCATAGGATCTGGTTTTTTATCAGATAATGAACCCCAAACCCTGAAATCTCAAACTTCTTGCAAGATTTTGCAGAAAAGCTACTCCTGTTTCCAGGATAAATAAGATTTCTGGTTTGACAGTTTATCAACACATTATGCATATCATTCAAACTAACAAATCTACAGAGAGATGGCTGTTGACAATTTGATGCATCCTCTAAACATATAGCTTTTTTCTAGATGAATTAAACACCAAGTTGATCGCAGAAAAAGAAATGGACAGAATTGACAAGTTTTGCGGTAATCTTGTTCTTGACTACGATGTATGTTTACATTTAATGAGCTATCTGCTTCTCATCAAACCTACAGAAACTGTACTTCAATGTGGGATGCAGATTTCTCCCTACGTCTTGCTTTTCTAATGAAGAAACAAAGTATGATGACTATAACTAGTAAGAATCGAATAAACCTGTTCTGTGAATTGCACTGGAATAGGCTCTTTGAAATCATAATTCCATTATAGAGTCTATAGATGCTCCAGAAATCGCACATCTCAGCCTTCTGGATAAAGCATTGTCATGGTCATTAGATGCTATTGGCGACACGGTGCCCACAAGAACAAAATTATCTTCGTTCTCAACATTTATTTCATGGACCTTGTGAAAAACATCTTGAAGTTCTTGTATCAGTGTCACATAGAAACGTTCGTCAGGAGGGACTACATTGATGACAAAAACACCATGATCATGAAGAACTGATCTAGCAGCCTGGAAAACGGGCTTCCTAACAATTTCCGGTGGAGGAGCACTAATGCCGGTTCTAGCATCACTTGAATCCAAATCCACCATCACAACATCAAATTTAGCATTCAAACAATCAATATTAACCTGCAAATCATGGGTGTCCCCTTTCGTTCGTCGGCTGGCAGCCTTTTCAATCAATTCGATAGCATCTCCAAGAATTAGTCGAATAGAATTCCTATCATTTAACCCAAAATACTGCCTTGCAACGCTTAAAACAACCTCATCGGCCTCCACTCCAACAACTTCAAACCCCAGTCGAGTGTTCAAGAAACTTAACAAAGCACCACCTCCAACCCCTAAGCACAAAGCTCTTGGAATAAACCCTTGTTTCATCCGCCGATCAAGAAGTGAAACAATCAAGAAAAGACCAGAAACCATAGCAGTCAAGTATGGCTGAATCAAAACCCCTGTATCAACCCTAAACTTCACTTCGTTCATTTTCCTCAAACTTGGCAAATCTAACCCCAAATTACCCACGACATTACCAACAGTAGGAATAAGAGGGATCTCTGATTGTATCAAGTTAGGCATTCTTTTAAACCTCAACCTCCTTCTCAAATCTTTATTGCAATCAACGTTACTTTCCACTTCAACATCTTCAACAAGAAATTCACCAACAAAGGGACCCACAGATCTATTTATAGTCACACGATACAGCGTAGTATCTTCATATGTCAAAAATACGGGTTCGGGCAAACCATTTTGAAAACACTCTACGGGATGCAGAGCGATTACTAATGGTTTCAGTTCATCTTCTAATTTCTCCTTATCGACGGTATCAGTAACCGGAGGGCGGACATAAATGGAGGGTTCTGAATTAGGCGGGGGATTATTACCGATAAGAACCAAGCGGGAGACGTTGGAGAAGTTGAATAAGAGCTGAAAATGGCCGGATTCAGTAGAGAAGATCCAGTCTGATTCCCGGTGGCCCGGTACAACCATGGCGGCGATTAATGGAACATCACCATCAGAGGTGACGATTGGAGAATCAAGGAGGGCGACGCGGAGCACCGGACTGCGGAGATAGCAGTGGCGTGCGGTAGGGTGTGGAATAGGGTTTGGAATTGTGAAAGTGATGAACTGAGATGGAGTTAGGGTTTTGATTTTTGATGTGTCCAGCGACATTGCTAAGGGTTGAAAAAATCAGTTGCAGAAATCGAAACTGTCACAAAATCATCCAGAATCAAAAGTATACGTTTGATCTGAAATGGCGATCATCGCTGCCATTTTTACATAGATTCCTCAATTCCCAGAGCGCTCTTTCATGTTCCGTACCAGTTGAACGTAAGCCATCCCTATTGTTTATGTACTATGGTTAATGTCAGCGGTGTTTGTGATTGTTTATTTAAAATAATTTATGTTTTTTTGAAAAAATATTTATTAATTTATGTGCGTATCAAATCGGAGTTAAATAAAACAATGTTAAAATTGTAAATTGATAATAAGCAGTTTTTCGTAAGTCATGAAAGATTAACTTATCAAAAACAGTTTATTATCGGTTTGGCACCGGTATAAGCATTTTTTTTCTTATCCAAACACCAGAAAACAGCTTATCACCGATGTCAGACGGAAATAAGTTAAAAAACAGCTTTTATAAGCAATTCTAAACACCCCCTAATTTGAAGAATATCTCTTTTATTTTTTATGTGTTTTGAGTTTATTAGAGCGTATCTACATTTATATGTTACTATTGCTTTATCAAGAGGATTACCCATCAAATGTATCCATCTAGTAATATATTCTTTGAATTGAACGGCAGTTATAATATAACTTACGATTGTTGGCAAAAAATGTTATGGAGCTACAAACATGTTAGCATAATGATACCGTCGATAAGGAGAAACTAGAAGTCGAATTGAAACCATAAGTAATTGATTTGCATCTCGTAGAGTGTTTTCAAAATGGTTTGCCCGAACCCGTATTCTTGACATATGAAGATACTACGTTGTACCGTGTGACTGTGAGTAGATTTGTGGGTCCCTTTGTTGGTGAATTTCTTGTTGAAGTGGAAAGTAGCGTTGATAGCAACAAAGATTCGAGAAGGAGGTTGAGGTTTAAAAGAATGCCTAACTTGATACAATCAGAAATCCCTCTTATTCGTACTACTGGAAATGTTGTGGGTAATTTAGGGTTTTTGCCAAGTTTGAGGGAAATGAGTGAAGTGGAGTTTAGGGTTGATACAAGGGTTTTGGTTCAGCCATATTTGACTGTTGTGGTTTCTGGTCTTTTCTTGATTGTTTCACTTCTTGATCAGCGGATGAAACAAGGGTTTATTCCAAGAGCTTTGTGTTTAGGGGTTGGAGGTGGTGCTTTGTTAAGTTTCTTGAACACTCGACTGGGATTTGAAGTTGTTGGAGTGGAGGCTGATGAGGTTGTTTTAAGCATTGCAAGGCAGTATTTTTGGGTTAAATGATAGGAATTCTATTCGACTAATTCTTGGAGATGCTATCGAATTGATTGAAAAGGTTGCTTGTGGACGGATGAAAGGGGACACCCATGATTTGCAGGTTAATATTGATTGTTTGAATGCTAAATTTGATGTTGTCATGGTGGATTTGGATTCAAGTGATGTTAGAACCGGCATTAGTGCTCCTCCACCGGAAAGTGTTAGGAAGCCCTTTTTCCAGGCTTCTAAATCAGTTCTTCATGATCATGGTTTTTTTGTCATCAATGTAGTCCCTCCTGACGAACGTTTCTATGTGACATTGATACAAGAACTTCAAGATGTTTTTCATAATGTCCATGAAATAAACATCGAGAACGAAGATAAATTTGTTCTTGTGGCCACAGTGTCGCCAATAGCATCTAATGACCATGACAATGCTTTTATCCAAAAGGCTGAGGCATGTGATTTCAGGAGCATATATATACTATATAAAGGAAATGTGATTTCAAAGAGCCTATTCCAGTACAGTTCACATAACAGGTTTATTCGACCTGTTACTAGTTATAGTCATCATACTTTGTTATTTCATCAGAAAAGCAAGACATAGGAAGGAATCTGCATCCCACATTGAAGTACAATTTTTGTAGATTCAATGAGAAGCATATGGCTCATTAAATGTAAACATACATCATAATCAAGAACAAGATCCCCATAAAAATGCTAGTTTTGTCCATTTCTTTTATGACTCTCAACCTTCTATTTGATACATTCCCCACGAAAAACATACATGTTTAGGGGATGCATCAAATCGTCAACAAGCTTCGTTGTCCATAGTTTGCACGCTACTTTATAGTTATATCTATACTATCTTATAAAGCAAATTCAAAAAAATCTTAAAGTCTTAAAATACTAAATGACCAAGATACCATTTATATCACTTTTTCACTTTTTCACCCCCTCCTCACCTAACATACATTCACCCTCTCACAACCCATATTTTAAAATTATAATTTTAAATTTACATTTTATACTCCTATAATTAGTTAATTAATTTATTTTACGTCATTTACTTTTAAATGTTTCATTTTAAACTTTTATCAAATTAATATACATAATCGTATATCAATTAAAACATGTTTAAAAAATATATTTTTATTTTAACAAGTTACACTATTATAATCGTCTCGTTAATACCTTCGAAATGAGTCCAATATTAAATAGTTTTTGACATAATTATATTATATATATATATATATATATTGTAAAAAAATATTTTTTATATTTACGATTTATACTTTTATAGTTATTTATTTTTATATATACTATATATTTTGGGTTTAGGCTGTCCAAATTGCACTGTATAATATGTTCTAAATTAATATGTTTTTGGATTTTTTTGAAATATATATATATATATATATATACATGTATTAATTCAACCTTAATCTGAGTTTCTGGACAAGAAAGAGGGTAAGCAGTTGAAATTTCATTCTAAAACCAATTTTTTTTGTCTTTTCATGGCTTATGATCTATCAAATTTGTAGTTTTTTTTATTGGTTTTGAGTGTTTATCTTAAAACTCAAGTTTCTTGGTTCTTTGCTCTTGGTGTAAATCGAACACATTTGTGGAGTCGTWTAAATATGTTGGATTTTAAACTATCATACAATTTTTTTAATCGATAGTCTGTAATTAGATACATAACTCTTATTTATTCAAATTGTATTAGTAGGTAAAGATCAAGTGTAACATATATCATCATTAAATCTTATCTTATAAAACCAGTGGAACTTCAAAATCGTTAAATTCATGGCTCCCGCCGCATTGCGCGGGTACACAACTAGTTTATGTTTATAAATCAATTCTTATCAATACTACAATACTAATATAAACTAATAACTATTACTCAAAGAGACTATGATATCACTTTTCAAATTGTATTCGAGTGTATATTTCATTGTTACATTACATACTGATGAGAGTGTCATAGATTTAATTAAAAATCCCATTTAAGGTTATAAGTGAAGGATCGTGTAAGAAAAATAGTTAAAGTGAAAAACATAAAAAGAGATATGAACCCTTTGATCATTTTAATATCATGTTCACATATGAATTATACTTCAGAAAGGAATTGATCATGTGCATCTCGATTTCATTGGTGTTGACATTTTCAATTATGTTTGACCAAAGCGTGAAGATCTTTTTTTATGATTCTTGCCATAACTTCCATTGCCACCAGAACCGAACCCTAAGTTATATATCAAAATACATAATATGAAGAAATATGCAATATCAAATGACGATTAAGGAGGGAGAGTGGTGATTGCATAGGAAGAATAGAGGAGAGGCGGGTTTTGAGGGAAGAATAGGGTTGGGAATGTCACGGCTTAATAGATACAACAAACCCTAGACGGTGTCGTAAACAAACATTCAGATATTGTTTTATTTACGGCTATCGATACAGTTAAACGTATTAAATAAAAAATAAAAATGGCTTCAGATTTTGGGCTACAGAAAGTTGACGGTGTTCTTGAAGATCGTCGGAGATGTATCGCATCATCGACTCCTTTTCCGATCACCTAAAAAAATGTGCAATGCGTCTTTATTTTTTCGATATGTGATGCTATTTATGCGAAGGGAAAACCGCATTTGTTGGGTTCCGTGTACTCAAAGAAATAGATTGCCACGTATTGGGTTCCGTGTACTCAAAGAAATGGATTGCCACGTATTTCGTTCCGTGTGCTCAAAGAAATGGATTGCCACGTATGGGGGTAGCCCCAATAGTAATAAGCCTTAGATTTCCGATTGGGCCTTTATTTTTCTAGAATATAGAGTCTAGACTACTGAAGACATGATCAAAAACCGGCTCAGGTCGGGACAAATTGGTACCGAGCTGAAACACTAATAATTCGGACCGGTCCTGTTGAAAATACTAAGTCCCACTTGAGGGTACTTATAACCGGTTACGATAACTAGTCCCGGACCAGACCCAAACCTATACTATATTAAACAAAACTTTTTTTAATATTTTTTAAATTTTTTTTATTTAAATTAAATTTTTAAAAATATTTTAATATTATTCTAATACATTTTAAAATATCTAAATAGGTAAATCAAATACACAAAAAAAAATATGTTTTATTGTAGTTTTATAATTGGTTTTCAATCAAATACACTTAAAAGTTACATTTTGTTATAGTTTTATAATTGATTTCAATCAAATACACTTAAAATATTATGTTTTATTGTAATTTATAATTTGATTTTCAATCAAATACACTTAGAAAGCTATAAATACATATAAAAAAATTGAAAATAAATCGGGCCAATCTCAGGCCGGGCCTATAACCGGTCCCAAACCGTCGGTCCCGGTCCTCTGCCGATGATGGGCCGAACGGGCCCATTTGGCCATCTCATGTTTGGAAGATAGACGTGTACCATATAGGGTTGCAAACGAACCGAACGAACACGAACTGTAAACGAAGAAAAATCTTTGTGTTCGTGTTCGTTCGTTTAGAAATCAAGTGTGTTCGTATTCGTTTATGTTCGTTCGTTAACATGTTAAACGAATGGGCTAAACGAACAATAATAAATATTATTTGGATTCAATGTAAATAAATAAAAGATTATATATTAAATTTAATATATAAGCGAACGGTAAAAAGAGTTAAAGTGAAAAGCATAAAAAAAATCTTAACGATTTGATCACTTTTAATATCATGTTCACACATAAATAACACTTTAAAAAGGAATTGATCTGATGCATCTCATTGGTGTTGACATTTTCAATTATGATTAATCAAATGGTGAAGATATTTTTTAACGATTCTCACAATGACTTCCATTGCCAACGGAACCAAACCCTAAGTTATATATCTAAATACATGAGATGAAGAAATATTAAATCGTGCARTATCAAACGACTATTAACGAGGGAGAGCGTTAATTGCATACAAAGAATAAAGTAGAGGCGGGTTTTGAGGGAAGGATAGGGTTGGGAATGTCACGGCTTAATAGATACAACAAACCCTAGATGGTGCAGTAAACATACATTCAGATATTGTTTTATTTACGGAGTTAAACGTATTAAATGAAAAATAAAAATGGCTTCAGATTTTGGGCTACAGAAAGTTGACTCTGTTCTTGAAGATCGTCGGAGATGTATCGCGTCATCGACTCATTTTTCGATCACCTGTAAAAAATGTGGTATGCGTCTTTATTTTTCCGATATGTGATGCTATTTATGCCAAGGGAAAACCTCATTTATTAGGTTCCGTTCCGTGTACTCAAAGAAATGGATTGCCACGTATATGGGGGTAGGCCCATAAAGTATGATTGGGCTATTGGACATTGCTAGTGGTTCAAATAATAATAGCCTTAGATTGCCGATTGGGCCTTTATTTTTCTAGAATCAAGACTTTAGGCTACTGAAGACATGGTCAAAAACCGATCTCGGATTGAGATAAATTGGTATTGGGCTGAAATACTAACAAACTGGACCGGATCGGTACCGTCGAAATTACTAAATCCCAACTAAGGCTACTTGTAACTGGTTATGTTAACTGGTCCTGGGTCGGACCCAAACCGATACTATATTAAACAAAACTTTTTATATATTTTTTTTAAAATTCCTTTTTGATAAAAAAATTTTAAAATAAAATTAATGTTATTTTAATACATTTTAAAATATCTAAATATGTAAATCAAATACACTTAAAAAATACGTTTTATTGTAACTTTATAATTGGTTTTCAATCTAATACACTTAAAAGTTATGCTCTATAACCACAAGGGCGATGTTTGATTGGTTTGATCTTGATTCCAAATGTCTAAAGTACCAGGAGGTCACAAGTTCAAATCTAAGGAAAAATAAAAACGCCCCTGTGGCCACGAAGGTTCAAACGCGGTGACTCCGGGATGTCTGCAAAGCAAATAGTCTCCCTGCGATTAGTCGGCTCGCATAGCGGGTTGTATATCCAGATTAATAAAAAATATACGTTTTATTATAGTTTTATAATTGGTTTTCAATCAAATACACTTAAAAAAATTATGTTTATTGTAATTTCTAATTTGATTTTCAATCAAATACACTTAGAAAGTTCGGAATGCATATAAAAATATATATATATTTTTTTAAAAATCAGTCCAGTCTCGAGACGGCCCTATAATAACCGTCGGCCAGACCTTTGTTTTTGAATGAAAACAATAACCGTCGGTCCCGGTCCTCCGCCTGTGACGAGCCGGACAGGCCCATTTGGCCATCTATTTGTCTGGAGGATAGACGTGTGCCATAGTAGACGAACCGAATGAACACGAACAGAGGCTTGTAATGTTCGTTCGTCTAACTTAACCGAACAAACGAACGAATACGAACGGTAAACGAACAAAAATCTTTGTGTTCGTGTTCGTTCGTGTAGAAATCAGGAGTGTTTGTGTTCATTTATGTTCGTTCGTTAACATGCTAAACGAACATAAATGAATGTTATTTGAATTCAAAGTAAAAAAAAATAAAAGATTATATATTAAATTTAACATATAAACAAACATAAACGAAAGGTAAATTAACGAATGTTCACAAACATAAATGAATGAACGAGACTTTTGTTCATA